GCTACCCAGGCCCCCTCCCAGGAAGTTCCCAGAAGCTTCAGTTCTTACCTTATCTCAAAAAAGTCTGTCTTATACAGAACCCTTTGTCCCACCCATGTTACCTAGATGCTTAAAGCTCTCGTCATAACTGATCTTTTTTACTTTAGTAACCAAGTTACTTTCCAAGTCACCCTGCTCATGAATCTCTGAGAGCCCAAGGTTCCACCTCTTTCCAAAACACCTCCTAGAATGTCTCTATTCCTAACATTTAAGTCTTATTCACCTGTAACTTTGTATTCAGTCATGATTTCAGCGCAGCTTCATTTCTTGCCATCCATACCCAGGTCACTGCTCATCAGTATCAAGGTAACTCCTGCTAAGCCTGTGAAAAGTCAACAGGGCTTTGAGCTGGGCCTCCTCTTTCATCTACCTCTGCAGACTATGGCAGAGCCTTGGCAACTACTCCCAGTGGGAGGCACCACCAAAGCTTCCATCTTGGTGAGACGGCTACCTCTGGTTTTGAGTCCATCTTCTCCACAAGCTAGGCTCTATTGGAATTGCATCTGGATTCCCTTTCTCATCTTCCCCTGCAGACGGCCTGTGCCTGGTGCTGGACTGCTTTCCTTTGTTCCACTATGATTCTTCATTGGCTCATTTATTCAAGGAACTTAGAAGTTTTCTTCTTCTTCTTCTTCTTCTTCTTCTTCTTCTTCTTCTTCTTCTTCTTCTTCTTCTTCTTCTTCTCCTTCTCCTTCTCCTTCTCCTTCTCCTTCTCCTTCTCCTTCTCCTTCTCCTCCTTCTCCTTCTCTTCCTCCTCCTCCTCCTCCTCCTTCTTCTTCTCCTTCTTCTTCTTCTCTCCCTCCTCCTCCCCTCCTCCTCCTCTTCCTCTTCCTCCTTCTCCTTCCTCTTCCTTCTTCCTCCTCCTTTTTCTTCTTCCAGTCATGAGAGACTAGAGATAATCATAGAGTTTCCTTTTCTAATACTTCTAAGCAATGTTGCAGTGACCTTCCTAAGGAAGCCATGCTTGGTTATGGTGCCTGGGATTTGTTAATATTTTATTCAGCAACCTTTCTCTTCTTTCTTCCTTTCATGTGTTAATGCACTTTCTCTCTCTCTCTCTCTCTCTCTCTCTCTCTCTCTCTCTCTCTCTCCCCCCCCCCCCTCTCTCTCTCACACACACACACACACACACACACACACAAGGTTTTGCTTGGCTGCCTTAAATTCACAGAAAGCTTTCCGAGTACTGGGATTACAGGCCTGAGCCACCAGTTCTGCTTGAGTGTCCCTGACGAGGCACTAGGATGACTGACAGACCGTCTAAGTCTTAACCTTGAGATGATGGAATGGAAAGCACAATGCAGGGCTTTTGTCATGTCTGCATGTTGGGCTGACCAAGGAAAGGCCTGTGTACAGCTGTGTGTGCTGTTTTAAAATACGGCTTATAAAGATTCCTTGAAAGAATACTGGCAGGCCAGGGCACTGGTAGGTATATTCCTGAGAAATGAGGAAAAAGGTAGGCCTTTTCCTTAAGAGAAACAGTGGCAGCATTTGTTATTAATAGTAAAATTCACACATTCTTGTAAGAAGTCGAAATTTGGAAATACTTGCTCCCACTACAATGAGCTTTGGAACTGCCCACCTGAGGTCTTCCTGCTGAGACTGTCAGTGACTGGGCAAAGGTGACTAATTATCTGGCATCTGATCGATGACATGTTGTAATACTAGGAACAGTTATATCACTATGGGTACAATATTTTCCAAATGCCCACTTGGGATCCAAACTCACAGAAGGATAAAGAGCCATTGAGACATAAGATGAGTCTCAAGGAAAGTTTAGGGCTTTCAGGGAAGTGGCTTAATGTATGAGCATTTACCTAGCATGCATGAGACCCTGGGTTCAATCCCCACCCCAGAAAACAAAAACTTCATCTTCCAACTCCTCAAGTTTGAGGTAGGACAGAGTTGGAACAGCCACATTGATTTGTTCTTTGAATGTCTTTCCTTTCCAGGTAACTATTCCTGTGAGATTGGACTTCTGGACAGAATCCTGCACTTAACAACCAGAAACTCTCCCAGCAGTAGAGCACACAGATGCCTGAGGAGCCCTTAGCTGGTTCCCTTGAGCCAGAGATTTGTACAAATATAAAACAATGCCACTTTTCTTGTTGAAACCTTATTTTGGAAAATACATTTTTTATACAATTGGTCTTGATAGTAACATATAATAGGTTTATTGTTCTGAAATAAATAACCTCTTCATGTCTAAAGTTTAATTTTTTAATAAGGTATTCTATAGGTACTGGCGCTGCTGTCTAGAACTCTTCAAAGTTCTCTGGGATCCTTGATCACTTTTCTGAGTCGCCAGGATCCCCGAGATGATGGTCTGAACTCTACCATGCTCCAGTGACACGCTAAGCTGCCCCACTAAGGCGCTGTGTGAGTTGTGGAGCTGCTGCTTAGAAAGGAACATCTCCTCAGATGGATCCTTGAAGAGGCTGTTACAATCCCCTTAGCTAGTGAGTGAGTTCCTGTCCTCAAGGCTCTTCCCAGTTTCTGAGTCTCTCCGACTTCCCTGTTGGTATTGTAAGCCTCCATGACCAAGGCAACTTATAGAAGGAACAGTCTCTTTTGGGTTATGGTTGCAGAGGGAAAAGAGACCATCACCATCATAGCATGGAAGAGTGGCGGTGGGCAGGCATGGTGGCAGGGACACCTGGGAGCTCTCATGTTAAACCACAAGGAAGAAGCAGACAGAGCTCACTGAATCACACAAGTTTTCTATCCTCAAAAGATGCCTTCGGTGACATACCTTCTCCAAGGTCACACCCCTAAGCCTTGAAAACAGCACCACCACCTGGAGACTGAGACTGTGGGTGACATTTCTCATTAGCATCACCATAGGCTCCTGCTGTGTGTCCCAATTCCACAAGCAACTGAGCAGGTCTTCCCACCTTTGGCCCCATTCTTTGTTTCATATGAATTTAAATGTAATTTTTGTCATTTCACAGCAAAATCTACAGTTCTTTCAGAAACATACTGGAATACAATGAGCAGGCTTTCTGTGGAGGCTTTCTGGTGGACTCAACAACCCACCCCTGTGTACTATCTTGCATCTTTCAATGACACTGTGTATCTTCACAAGGGCCTCTGTCTTTCTGGGTGAATCCACTCCTGGGCAGTCTACTACTCTGGTCTCAGGACTCATTCCTCATTCTCAATTTTAATACTTTTACGTTGAACCACTTGAGGTCTTGTAAGTTTAGTCTTCTGGATCATCAAAAGTGCTATCTGAAAATAAAGATTACTGTCATGTCTTCATCCTGTCCCTTGGCTTTCTTTGTTTGCTGACCAGTGTCTGGTTCTAGATGTCAGAGGATCAGGTAGTAATGGCGAAAACACTTGATGCGTTTAGTTTTGTGTTCATGTTTGGCTGAACCTGATCAGATATTTCAGTGTTTACTAATAGAGTTACTTTACTCCTTGAATGACCCAGTAGCTAAAAAAGCAATGGGGAAGTACTCAAGGACATACCAGATGAGTGCAGGCAGGTGCATGTCAACAGATCACTGTCCATGGTGGGGTCCCCGAGCACCTAAGGCTGCAGATGAAGTCTAGAAGACAGGAGGAGGCCAGGCTCCTTGCCTTGGCTCTCAAGTATTACAGGCCCCGGAGTTCCCCATCTTCCTGGAACCATCCAACCGTTTTTCAGGAGAGGGCTGTAGTTACTTGTCCTGGTGCCCCAAAGCTAACTATTTGATCTCTGCCAGGTTAAGGACACAGGGACATCACATGGACAGCTGGCACTTTGCTTAATTTACACCACAGATATTGACAGGTGCTTCATCGATACCACTAACTGAATGTTTCCCACTGCCTGTGGTTACCAGCCAAATGTGGTTGCCATGCCACAGGACATGGACTCAGGAGCCCTCTGTGGGGACAGAGGACCTGAGAGCTCAGAAGACCTCAGCAAGGCAGATCATACCTGCTACTCTGTTTCAGCTGCACAAAACATGCCGCCCTTCCCATAGGCAGCCTGGGGTCAGCCTCTATACCATCTGGATGACACAGACTTGCAGCCTCTATCTCATGTCTGGCTGACCATTATTGGAGAATCAACAGAGTCAGCACCCTCACATTGGGATGATTGGCAGCTGCTTGGTAAAGCCTCACTATCACCCTTGACCTCGGAAGTATATTCTAAGTCTCCGGGCAAACTGCCACATGTAAACATCTAACCCAACTCCACTGAATCTGGTCTTCTGGGCTGTAATTGGCCTGGTTCCAAGGGGTGAATCAGACAGGCCTGCTTTCAGTCTCCTCTGTGGCTTCAGTCAAAGAGCCAAGGCTCAGCCAATGAAATGAGATATTCAGTGAGGGGGTCCTGGGAAGAGCCTTTCATATGGTAGAACGACAGTGGCAAGCTGGACCAGCGTGTTCAGCCTTCTGCCTATTCCCAACAAGCTTAGAGAAAACACAAACTTCTTCCAGAAATGCATGGCTCTAGGTGATCCGGCTGTCGGCTGCCGGCTGGCCACTGGCATCAGATGCTCTAGGTGTTGTTCAAAATGGCTGTTCCCTATATGGGGTGCTGCTCTTCCTCTCTCTGCCCAAATCTGGTCCCTTATGTCACAGGCCCAACCTTCCCTTGAGCACTCACTATCACTGGCTACCACTTCTCTGATGACTGAACCAAAGCTTCATCAAGCCAGGACCTATGCCTCACTTAGCACGCTACTGCTATCACCAGGACTGAGACCAACAGGCCAGAGAGCATAAGCAGCAGGAGTTGGCTGTATCCTGTGCTAGTGTGAAGCTTCAAACAGTCACTAAGGGTGGAGCTGGTACTGTGATAACTGGGTACTTAGGGTAGCTGCTACAGATCCTGTAGAGGAACCCACACGCACATGCCTCTGACCTTTAGCATTTGCTTTTATCTACCGAAGAGAATCATCCAAGCCAGCACTTCCCCTTCCCCTTCACACCAGAGAGAGGAAAGTTGGCTTCCAGGCAATAATGGAAAGTATGTTTAATATCAAAAGCTGTTTCAAGTATCAGATAGTGACTATACTGGAGAGCTTCTGAGACCTCCTCACTACCTATTGTCCTGGAGTCCCTGGCATTAATGCTGGAGATGGGGGTCCCAAGGTCTCTCAATGCCACTGGGGTCCTGGAAAGCCCTTCAGAGAAGCACAGAGGCCAGGCTGAAGCCTGTCCCCTTTCTGGAAACCTGCCTGGGTAGGTGGGACTCTGAGCCTGGGTGGGCCTTGAGATAGGACTGCGTGGCACCTGGCGTCCTCTCCACGGCCTAGACGTTAGACTTGGCGATGATCTTCTCCAGCAGGCTCATCATTCGCTCCTGAAGCTGCAGGCTCTGAACCTGCAGGATGTTCTGCTGGTCCAGCACACGGCGCACCTCTCGGCATGTCTCCTCCATGGCGCGGCTCAGCCTGCGCTGCTCCTCCAGCATGGCCTCCAGCAGTCGCAGCTTCTTTTTCTGCAGGTGACAGCTCCGCATCTTGCGTTTCTTTACAGGGCGTTCCTCTGACCTGTCGGGGAAAGATGAGTTGGTCACAAGGACTGGAACATGGGAGCCACCAGACCTTCCCAGACACCCCTCTGGACAAACAGGAACAGTGAGGCCCCAGGAGCCATATCTAGGATTTAGGTCTCAGCTCACAGAGGTGGGGAGGGGGTCAGAGCTCACAGCAGAGAGAACAGCAGGCGATAGCTAGTGCTGGCCTGTGGGAGGAGCCGGCAATGCCAGACCCATCCACATCCCGAGTGTGGACTATATAGCCACACGATCCTAACAGCACCCCACGCCCACTGAGCTGGTGGAGGGTGCTCACTGGTGAAGAGCCTACTCTAGGGAGCAGCAAAGAGAAAGATGCTGGGCATCGTGTGGTACTTAGTACTCTTAAGGGAAGTGAAGTCTGTAGTCTCCACTGGCCTATGACAGATGAAGAAATGGGTTCAGAATGAAGGTCTACCCTGAGCCCTCTGTCTCCAAGTATGCCTTTGGCAATGGGGAGGGGGGGTCAGACAGGCCATCTGGGCTCCTGCCGAGGAGATGCCCCATGGGTGCTCTCTGCTAGTCTAAAAGACCTTGCTGGACAGCAGGAAGCTGCCAAAGCCTACCAGACCCTAAGGCCTATTCGGGTAACTGCCATTATCTGGCCAGTGCTCTGTGTTCTGAGCAAAGTGGAAGATCAGTTAGTCTTGGAGACAGAGCCCCAGGCAGCTGTGCCTTGGAACTGGGCTTGGTAAGCCATGGGAACAATTGGTCATAAATCTCAGGCTTCTCTGCTAGTTTGGTCTGGCTTTAGTAAAGACAGATTTAGTCTGGGCCCTTCCCTCTAGAGAAGGGCTTTTTGGGTGAATTAAGCAGATGTTCCCAGCCCTAGAGACACTGGGTTCTGAGACCTCCATGAAGACACCTTTCCTACCTTATCTGTTGTAAAACAGGCTTGAAAGTCGATAACTCAAAGCCGTATTTCCAAGTTTCTTCAACTGCCTGACTCTCTTTTGCCTTGGAAACCCATCCTAAATATCCCTTAGAAGTGCCTGCTCTGGACTCCACGGTCTAAAGCTACAGGGCGTCTCCTTCTTGTCCCCCAACTCAGAGGCTCTGTGAGTATCTTACAGTCATAGGCATGTGACTAATACAGGGCTGGAGTGTGATGACAGAGAAGACAGATAATACAGGCATACATCTCCATGTTGCTAAGGTGTGGACCCAAGAAAGGGCCCGTGTTGGGATTTGGCTGGCAGGGAAGGTATGCTTGGGGCCTGGCCCTGTGTCTTTTCTCCTTGAGGAATACTGATTTATCCCCATTTTATGGTGGGAGTCAGGGGTCAGAGAGGTCAAAGAACTTTCCATGCAGGTAAGAGGTGATGGAACCTTGGACAAGCCCCACCTACCCATTGGCACTAGAGCTCTTGCTGCTCTGAGGCTGACCTGGCCCTGAACCAGGCCACAGCTACGGCTTGTGCAGCCAGTCAGACCAGAGGAGACCAGAGCATGTCACTGTGCCACTGCCAGCCCCTTGCTCTGAGCACTGGAGCTTTGGTCCCATTTGAGAATAGGGCAAGGGACAAAGATGCCAAAGCAGTGCTGGGTCAGGACAGGGAGAGCAAACACACACTACCTGAACTTAAGGGACAGTAAGCTGGAGGAGCTGTCGGAGCGATCGTCCTCGAAGCGGCCTTCATAGGAGCACTGGGTATACGGTAAGTACAGAGGGGTGGACTTAGCAGACGGCGACAGAGACGCCTCGGTCTGGGACGTGGAGGGCCCCGGCTGCTGGCCATCCGGCAGTTTGCCCTCACAGGACTCAGGGACCTTGGCCAGAATCCTATCAATGGCTAGGTAATAGGGCCAGTCCGGCGGGACGGACTCGCTATCTGTCATGCATTTTAATTTCCTGAAACGAGAGACACAAGAGCCAAGGTGAGAAACAGCAGGTGAAGCCTGTCCTGCCCGACCCTTGGGCAAAGTGACACGCAAGGGGCCTAGGTCCCCAGAAAGAGCCATGCTAACACAGGCAGGAGCCACTCTCAGCCAGCACGGTCTTCCTCAGCAAAATCAGTCAGGCTCTAGGGTCCCTATAACACTGGACAGAAGGTAGAGGCTTTGGGACCTGTATAGCCTTGGGTGTCAGAAACGAAACCCAAGCATGAATAAGGGTATCTATAGGTGCTGGGAGCTTGGGGCTGGTTCCTGTGGTCTCTGTTCTTCTGTGGGTTCTAAACTCACTGCAATGAATGGAGTGCTTTTTATGTAAAGTAACCTTCAGTGATGAGACTGTGTGTGAGACACTGACATAGCAGCAGTTGTAGCCTACAAAGATGCTTCCAGAAGGGTGAACAGCAGGGACACAGGAAGACAATACTCACAGTTCTGAGCCTGTGTCTTGCACATACACTATGATCTTGGACAGGTTCATTAACCTCTCTGAGCCTTCATGCTTTATATTAGTAAAATGGGGATGAAAAAGTAAATCCTTCTTCGGAAAAGTAAAGAAAAGATTTAATAAAATAATATCTGGTAACCCAGGGTCCAGGCTCCAACACTGTTCTTAACTGAACCTACCAGGAAAGTGTGTTAGGCCGTATCAATGTAATGCTGCTATCACTCAAGCCCTGAGCTAAGCCTGACGTAGCTCTCAAACCCACAGCCTGCCCAGAGACTGTGGGGCTGAGTGGCCAGTGCCATCTCACATTGCCTCACATCCCACCCTCTACTAGTGCCAGAGCTGAAGGTCTGATCAGTGCGGTCTGTGTCCTCAAGACCTTATGCCCTGTCTTCTCCAACAGATAGGTCCTGTACTCTGAGAGGATTATCACATCTCTGTCCTTGGTCATCCCCTGAGAAGGGAGGGCTACAGAAACTGGACACAGGCTGGTCGAACAGTTTTGGTCTGAAGAGAGGCAACTTAGGAGCATTTTGGCCCTCAGGGCCACCTTGGGCCCATATGGGTTATTTGCAAGGGCTGGCCCTAGTCTCGCTGATCTCTGAAGATGGAGAGCTGGCTGAAGGAGCCCCCAACACAGGTATAGCCAAGAATAAGGGGCTGCTGCCCAGGACTGACGCAGTTAACCAAAGCAGAGGCTGGCCTTGGGGAGTAGCATCAAGGGCCTAGGGGGCTCCACCACATGACACGGCTGCATCAGAAAGCAGAGGCAGGTCACACAGAACTGGGCAGACTATTCTGAATGAATAGCAGGCACCATCAGGCCACTGGGACACAGGGAAGGTGAAGTTTTTACCATTAGTGCCATGTCAGCCTTCTACACAGGCTCCTCCTCTCTAGAGAACCCCGGGCCCTGTTTTCTCTGATCCACTTAAGCTAGCTCGCTCCTTGGAGAAATGGGGACAGCCTGTCTTCCGTGTGGGGGCCTTATGTGGCATTCCAACAAATCATGGTCCTGGAACCTAACTACCTGTTCTTATTTCCTTTAAGTCAGAACCTTAATATATAAACAGCTCTTGTAAAAAAAGAAAAGACTGCTGTGAAGTCAGGAATGGATGGATAAAGAACTGGTCAGCTATGAGGAGCCACGTTCTGCATGTGCTTTATAAATTGGGACGTGCTATGACTCCTACCCCTAAACTGCAGTGACTGGCCTTTCCATGTGCTCTCATCTGGCTCACAGCCACCTCTAGGAATGGAGACAGAATCCCTCCGCTAGGACTCTGAGGGAGGCTTTCAAGATAAATAATGAATACTATAGCTAGACATTGTGAGCCGCTGAGTCGAAGGGAAGCTAAGGAAGACAACCAGTGGTGCCTCCCATCTCCCCCAGAAACCCCTTCTTCACCAAGCACTGGAACAGGACTATGGGGCATGAGTAAGCCATGCAAGCCTTTGCCATGGTTGCTATCTTCATGTGTTCACATCTGTCTTGTAGGCAACAGACTTGGTCTCAACTCTCTCCTCTTAAGACAGAGGCTTACACTTACCATCAGTTATAATAAATGACTCTGATGCCAGCAAGCCTGAGCAGCCGCTGGAGCTGCGGGTTTTTGCTTTTAGACTCTGCTGTGGGCCAGCATTGGGAGTCAGAAATGGACCATAGATAAGACAGGCTTGAGGCCCTCTTGCTTCTTCCATGGCCCTCATAAGTCAAATCAACAGTTAGAAATAGTTTCAGGGTCTCATGGTCTGTCCAAGGTCTTGTTGGGCCTTGTCTCCCAGGGACACAGAATTCATGGGCTAGGCAGGGGTTTCTCTCCCTTTCTTGGGGCATCTCTTTACTGACGAGGGCAGGAGAGCTCCTTTCTTCCATGGAGTCTGGCTGGGGACTTCACAGATATGCCTGCAAAGCAAGGTCTGGACCAGCCTTCCCATCTGCCCAACTCATCAGATGAACTACTAGTACATCTATGAGCCCTGGATAGCGCCTCCTATCATGGGATCTGAATGCAGTCTTAGGCAGCTCCAGGCCCTGACTGTCTAGTCTGCCTTTTGGGGAAGTACTTAACTACTGTCCTCCCTTCACATTCTCCAACTTCTATGTGACATCTCCCCTCCTAAGAGCCTCATGCACACAACCTTCACGTTATACTCTGACCTTCACCCACCCACTACTTTCTCATGCCTGCAAAGTCCACAATCTCCAGCCCATCCATGATCCCCGCCCTGCACTTGACTTTCCAGAGAGGTCAGACCCACCACAGCTGCTCCTTCCTGGATGCCAGAGAGGCTCTAGGCTGTGAAATCAGTATCAGTTCCCCCTAGGTTCTCCTTTGGCTGCAAGCTAGGACAGTCAAACTGAGAGGCAGCGAAGTCAGAGACACAGATGGGGAGTCCCCAACCTAGAGTTGTGTGCTGCCTGGGAGCCCCCTAGAATTCCATCTTATCAACCCTGAGACTGGCCCTGGGCTGGGCTCACAGGTCAGCCAGGCTTGGGAGTCAAACTCCTTTTCACTCTAGCTTCAGTTTTCATACATGAAACAAGGAACCCCATACCCTGCCCAACTTGAGTACTTGTGGTAGGTGGTGCAGGCAGAACCAAGCCCAGTTGGTACCCTGTAGTCCCTGTTGAGGATGAGGTTATAAGATCTGATCTACTGGTCTACTGCTGAGGCATCATGACAGGTAGGAGGCGGGTCTAATGTCAGCCTTAGAACCACCCTCATGATGGTGCACCTCCAGCCCTAGTCCCAGAAAGTTGAGCTGAGGACACCCCCAGCTTTGTCACTTGGGAGTTCATGATCAGATTTGTTTGCTTGTGGGCCTCAGTTTCCCCATCATCCCAATAGGAGGCTGCACAAATGGTTTTGGAAGGCGATCTTGCCAAGTGGAGCATTGACCTACAGGTGGACATCTAGCCCAGATGACACACACCCTCCTTGCCTCAGAGCACAAAGTGGTGCAGAATGGAACAACCTGCCTAGACCCTCCCACACCATCCAGCGTGCTCACCTGTACTGGAAGGTCATGTTGGTGATTTTGATTTTGATCTCCTCGCCTAGCCGGCGCTCCCCAGTCATCTCAAAGAGCTTGCTGGCCATCTTCTCATACACCTTGGCATTGCGCTTGGTCTGCTTGAGCTCATCAAAGAACTCCTCCCAGACCAGCATGAGGCCGCGCATCTCGGCATCTGTCCAGTTGCGGGCCCGTCGATGCTTCTCGGTCTGAGGAGACACAAGGTAGCCAGGCACTTCGGCTGCTGCCATGCTGGAGGCACCTGCAGGGTTAAGGATGGCACTCAGGCAGGGCCTCAGGCCTGGCCAGCGCACCATGGGCAAGAGGCAGTGCACTTGTTCACTCGCTTGCTCGAGGCAGCTCCACGCTCAAAATGGGGCCTACATCTGACAGGCAGGAATTTAGTTAAAAGCTTTTAAACGGGAAACGTCATTTTGATGTCATGTTTCCATAGCAACAGAGCAACTGCATAAGCTACAACAACAGAAACCTTTTAACTGAAAGCACAGGAATCAGGGCCGCACTGACGGGCCATCAATATTGCAGTGAGAAGCTGTACCCAAACCCATGGTGGCTCCCAGGCCTCCTCCCACCCTGCTGGCCCTCTCATCCCCAGAAGAGACTTGCTTTTGCTGTGCCTGAAAGGCTCCTACATGAGGGATCCAGGCAGCAGTCCCCTCCTCAGACCCACCTGGTTCATATAGGTTAGAGTCCAAGGAGGCCCAAGATATGCTGAGACGAAAGGTGCAGGGTCACCAGGGAGATAGAGGCCCCATTGTTGCCTTGATGACTGTTAGTGTGGTGAGATCCTTGCTGAGAGGGTGCTATCTTCTCAGAGGCCTGTTAAGCTTTACTGAAGCCAGCCCTCAAGAGTCCCTCATTGACTCTTTCTCATTGACTTTGCTTCTTTTGCTCCACTCATGCAGCATTCTGGGTGTCAGGTTGTGTGGGTGCTGGGAAGCCAGGCAAGTCAGAGCTAGGCCTTGCCTAGCTATGCAGGCCAGAAGGACACAGATGCTGACCTTCACAAAAAGCAGGACCATAGCCCTGATGGAAGAGGCAAACTGAGCTGAGCTGAGGAGGCCCATCAGGGAAAAGTAGCATCAGGCAGAGGGTAATGTTAATGTCCTGAGCAAGGCATATTTCAGGGCTAGTCCTCAAGAGATAGAGCAGTGTTGGGGTGGGGACAGGAAAAATATCAAGAGGAGGGGTTAATATGCCCGCAAGGCTAGGCAGGGACCTCAAGCTGAGAAGCCAGCAGAGCAGGAGTATAGAATGTGGAATATGCAGAGGGAAAAGTTACCACGGGGCATCAACAGCTAACATCTGGAAGGTAAGTCCCAAATGGACTACGTGGAACCTAAGACCCTCATGCTAGACTGGCTGTGGTGGACACACAGTCTAGTCTGATTCTAGAATCTCTGGGCTCAGTACACTCTATTAGTAGTCATGCCTGGTCCCCAAACAACTAGGTTAAAACTCTCTAGTTGACAGAACAACAGCTGCCAATCAGATCATTGGCTTTCCCCCTGCCTGACCAAGAAAGGAAGAACTCAGCCTATAGGAAGCAGTACCTCTGGGCTTCTTGTGTCTGCTGTAAGGAGCATAGTCAGTAACATAATGGGTGGGGGGAGTGACCTGAGCTTCAATCCAAAGTTAGAAATAAAAAGGCAGCAGAGGGCAGCCCCTGGAAGTCTGGCTGTCACTTCATAGGTTCAGGTCAATGCCAGGCTTCCTCTCTGAACCCTGGGAGTTACTTAGGGACTTCCTACTGCTAAACTAGCAGACAGATATCCATGATTGTTCCATTTCTCCTAAGAGTACTAAGAAGGTCTGCAAAAACTTACTGCTAAAGTCAGATACTGAGCATGCCAGCCACACTACTGGCCTGCTGGTTCATTGCTGCCCCCTAGAGCTGGGAGTGGGACCTGGGTCTGGTTCTCAGAGCTCATGGCTGTATAGAGTGTCTAGAAAGTGCCTCTTTCCTCCAGGAAGCCCCCTGTTCTTTAGGCTCAAAAGATTGATCCCTGAGGAGCAGGGCAACTAGGAACCTGCTAGGCTGGCCCTGTCTGCCTCCTGAGTACTGGGATTAAAAGTGTACGTTACTATGCTTAGCTTCAAGCTGCTAGCTTTTGAATCTAGTTCTGTATGACCTTAGCAATGGATTCCAGTCTCAGTGTCCTCATCTCTGTACTAAAATAATAAGAGCTAGCTAGATGACTATAAATGACTCAGCAAAATGCTGGCCGAAGAGCCAAAACCGCTTTAGGGATGTGGGGAGGTCCTAGGTCCCCATCTGCCATCTCTTAGCCCTTTCCACAAATCTCCTTAGAGCCTCTGGAGAGTTCAAAGCCAGGCAAGTGGCTAGCTGTTAGCTAAAGGATGTCACTATCCCTTTCTGTGCTCTTGCTAGACCAGTGAGCAGGGAGGGCCTCAGAATGCAGAACAACACCGGCAAAGTTTGTGGACCTGTACATGCTGCAGAAATGTTCCATGAGCAACTGCATCATTGTTGCCAAGGACCACATGTCCATCCAGATGAATGTGGCCGAGGGTGACAGGAGCACAGGCCAGTTTAATGGCCAGTTAAAAACCTACGGCATCTGTAGGGCCATTCGCAGGATGCGCGAGTCAGAAGATTCTATTCTCGGATTGGCTAAGGCTGATGGAATTGTCTCAAAAAATTTTTGAGCAGAAGAAATCAGGAATATTTTGTTACAAATAAAAGTGATAAGTACCTGTGACAGCTTTAAAAAAAAGGTATGTCATTACCATTACTCAGGGTCCTATAGTTAGATGGCTGCAGAGGAAACATCTATAACAGCTGTTTGCCCAAATTCTAGGAGGTAGAAGGCATCAGAGCCAGTCTGGCTGGAGCTATTCTGTAACACAACACTTTGGTTGACACCTAAATGGGTGGTAAGATGGGCTCCCGCCTCCTCTTCTCAGGCATGTGGGCGTCAGCAGCCCCAGGTACAAAGTGACCTCTGTGGGGGGCACCATGTAGAGCAGAGTCCTTGCCTGGCTTCCAGGGATAAGAATGAACAGGTGTCCGTCCAAGCCTCAGCAGCCCCTACCTAGGGTGGGACATACTTCTTTATTCAGCCTCAGCAGCCCCTACCTAGGGTGGGACATACTTCTTTATTCAGGGTAGAGTTCCATACCTTGACACAGCTGCATGGCCTGCTAGGACCCTCAGTGGACACAGGATGAGGAGGCAGGAGTCTGAGGACTAGGCCCCCAGTAGAACCTGAAGGGAAAGGGGGCAGGTCAGCTTTAGCAAGTGTCTCTTCAAGGCCAGGCACACTGAATGGGATCAAGACTGGTCCTGTTGTGAGCTGGTGAGACCTACTTAGGCTCTCTGGGTCGTGTTTCCCCTCTAAATAACGAATCTGGAGCTAATCTGAAACTTGTATTGATGGAAACTGTTCAGGCTGCAAGAAACCAGGCCTGACCAGGGTGATAGCAGCCAAGCTTAGCCTATATGGATAAGAGGCCAGGGTAGAAAATGGCCAGTTTCAGCAGGATGCCAGGTAACTTGAGAGCCTGTACTGGTGGGAGAAATTTAAGGGTTGAAGAGCCTGAAGTATATGAAATGTGTGCACAAGTGGCAGTGGCCAAGTACAGCCTTGACTAAGAGGTAGTAAGACCTGGGTCTAGGAAGTCCTGGGGCACTAAGGAGTTTGAACTGCTCTGGGTGGTTAGTGATGTGCGGCCTGTGTCAGTGGTAGATAGTGAGAGGGGTTATGACCTACCTTAGAATTGGCTTGTTGCAGCAATTCCTGGGACCTTGCAGCCTAGCTTGACATAGAGGCCTAGGCAGCTAGGTAGTTTAGTTTGCATGTTAAGACATTGCTGTTACATCAATAAGGAGTCCAGGTTCCAAATGCCCACCCCGCCAGGTAGTGGTGGCGCACGCCTTTAATCCCAGCACTTGGGAGGCAGAGGCAGGCAGATTTCTGAGTTCGAGGCCAGCCTGGTCTACCGAGTGAGTTCCAGGACAGCCGGGGATATACAGAAAAACCCTGTCTCAAAAAAACAAACAAACAAAAAAAACCAAAAAAAAAAAAAAAACCCAAATGCCCACCCCAAACTTGAAGTGATGCAGGCATCCCTTTCAGGACCACAACATGGAGGGAGACAAGACTCAGGCTTTTAGGGTCAAGGATGTGTGTGGATTCCAGGAAGGTTTCAATGATTCTCAAGTACCTGGGTCCACCTCTGCTCATGAGCCTTCCTTGGGCTACCCAAGTAGGTCTTTCTGATTTGGTTGAGGTTTGTTACCTCATATGAAGGTGAGGCTCAGACCCTAGGAAGCCTGGGTACAGCTCCAGGAAACCTGGACCCTGTCCACTCATTATGTGGCCATGTGGCCATAAATGGCACACATACTCACCATGACTACCCATTCCCCTATCAAACATAATCAGGCTCTTTCTTTAAGCTCCTTCAGAATGCTTTTTGGAATAATTGGAGACAAACACCACAGTGAGACTGAGGAGTACCTCAAGTCCTGTGTGCCTACATTCCCCAGGCAGGAGGCAGGACTTGCTGTGGTGAGGGAGTGTGTTCTGCTGTAGTGGCTAGAAGGGATAATGTACTGCCAACATTCCAGGGAGGCATACCTTAGCCTTTCTGGAATATCACCCATGCCTGTTATGTCAAAGGTCTAGCTATCCACCAAGAGGACTAGGAGTCCTTTGGTCCCTGGAGTGACCAAAACTCAAATGTCGATGAGGATCTTAAGGGCAATATCACCATAGTCCTAGAGAGGACTGCTGAGGTAGATTTAGGGAGTTGAAGCAACAATACTCATGCCACAATCAAGTGCTTGAGTTACTGAGCAAAGACCTAAACCTGGTAAGGCACCTAGCAGGCCCCTCCTGCCAATGGTTTGTTATCTTGCACAGAAAATAGACCCTGTGGCATGCCCTAGAAGGGATAGTGGCATGCACTGGGTTCCCTAAGTCTCCAAGAGTTCTCCTGGCACTAACTTCAGTGTCTGGTGGGCTAAAGGACCAGGTAGACAACTCCAGACTCGCAAGTGAAGCTTGACAGGCCTTCAGAAAGTGTTTCACACACAGCTTTGTTCCTGCAGGTTGGTGGATAAAGTACCTGCACTCCAGGTTAGCCCAGATACTAAAGAGGAGACCTGGTAAGACAGACAATGTCACAGACAAAGTAAAAGGAGTTGTAACCTACAAAGGACAGGGTAGGTGCTGCAGACACAGCATCCAGCCTAGGACAAAGGTGGAAAGACCAGTTATGTTGAAGGGCAAAGGGGGCTCCACATGGACCAGGAGCATGACCAGAAAGGCAGAAAGGCCGGTGGAGAGCATGCAGAGACTCCAAGAACTAACTGCCCTGTGTGAAGACAGAGCCTCACCACCCCACTAGGACCCTGGAGTAATGTGTGGAAGCTGAAACAGTAACTAGGACCTCACGCAACAGGCTTAAAATGCCAATAACCATGAGAACTTGGCACACCATATCTCCCAGACAGGGAGAGCACTTCAGTAGCGTCTGTGAATGCTCCTAGTCCTGGTCCCAATTCCAGGGACACAGGCTCATTCCATACCTAGTGTTGTCTGACCTTTACAGTGTCAAGATGGCTGCTGGTAGTATCCTTGTCCCACTGGAGATAAGCAGGATGCTCTCCTCAAATGCTAGAAAGGAGGTTCTCAAAAGTAAAGCAAGCCTCAAACAGCAACAACTGATGGTTTAATTGCTTCTTTAATTCAAATTTACAATACCTGTAATTTAAAAATTTTAAATATACATTTCATGTCAGTCCTTCCTCTTGGAAATGGACAGCCAGGTCTAGGCTGGGCTCCGGGGCACACCCATCACAGCCCTCCTACTTCCCAGTGGAGCCCATGGCATACAGCAGCAAGGCCTAGACAGGAGCCCCCTAGAATGCAGCCAAATCTCTACAGATAGGTCTCTGCCACCTATTACCTTACACTCAGCTTGTGGCAGAGGGTGTTTCCAGAGACACCTGAGGAGAACAGTTCCTCTGATGGCTCTAAAGTGTGACAAGTACACACGGAGGGTGGCCCTGAACCTTGACATCATCTTTAGTTGTCAAACTGCTCAGCATTGGTTCTTCTTTCCTGGAGGCTCCAGAGCCATTGAGGAACAGTTCTTTTCCAAACCATGACGTCCTGAGCCCCCAACCCAGCTTCAGCAGCTCTGTGTCTTCTACTCCCACATACCAATCCCTGGAGGACAGCTTCATGCCTGTCCTGGTAGCAGCCATGATCCTAGTGCTCAGTGTTAAGGGAGGGAGGGAAGACTGTGTGGGGAAGGATGCTCACAGGAGGCAAGAGGAGACTGATTCTGCAGCTCCACAATGGGAGGCAGGACTCCTTGCCAGGAGGCTGTGAGCCAAGCTATTGCTGTATAAAACCTGTCCCATGAGCAGAAAGCAGAGCTGCTTTACTCTCGGGAAGGTGCTTCCTGCCAGAGAAGGTGGCTGTTAGGGTTGGTACCTTCCCTGGCATTGGATTCTAGAGGGCGGGAGGTGGTTCCACGCCAGTTCTTCCCTCCTGAAGGGTACATGTGCAGATAAAATGAGAGAATAAAGGGCACTTGGCAGTGGCAAAGTCACCTACATGTCAAAGGGGCCATCAGTGGGAGGGAGGCACATTTTGGAGAAGAAACATGCTCAAGTGCATTGCCAAATAGTTCTACCCTGGTTTTATTAAAATCTTTCCTGACAGTACCAGCAGGAAAACAAAAAACAACATCCTACCTCCTACCCCCGAAATCTCACAGTCAAAATAACTTTTTTTTTTAATAAAGTTTGGAAATCCTTAGATTTTTGAGGAATTTGATAAAAAGTCTTGGTCCCTCCTGCAGTTAGACAGGTGGGGCAATGTCTCCAGTGGGACTTTAATGAGCTATGGACTTTTAAGAATTGAGTCCCATTCTCAGATGCTAGACTGTATGTAGCAGTTACAAGAAAAGTCTGCTTTCAGAAAAACTGGAGAGGCATTTTTAGAGGTGTTGCATATGTCTTTGAGGACTGTGTGTGTGTGTGTTCACACGCAAATGCATACCTGCCTGTCCCCAGGTGCATCTCCAGGTTGTGGCACCCATGAGCAGACAACAGCCTTGTCGTAGAAGCTGTTCTTGCCCCATACTAAGAATTGTTTCTGATCACACTGAACAAGAGGCCAACTAAACTCAAGGCTGAGCTCACTGATATAATCCCCAGGCGAATGGCTCTGAATTCTATATTCTGTTTCCTTATGAACATCTACCATGAGGAGTCATCAGGCCTGCAACATGCTCTTCTCAGAGCAGCTGGACCAACCTCAGAGTGTGGCAGCAGCATTGGGAGACTGTCCACGTGGTCCCCAAGCACTTCTAGGAGGGAAATCTAGGGTAACAAGTAGAAGCCCTAAATCAGCAAAGGGGCATTGGTGACTTTCTTTTATTAAAATTCAGTAACTTCCCTTAAGGTCCTCTTGAAAGACCTGATCCATGTCCACTGCTCTTGTTACCATGACACCAGTATGGGCTGGGCTGGCTTGGGGTAGCCTTTGCCAGGGGTAGATAAAGAATCAGGCCAAGTGTGAGGCTCCCCACAACCTGTGTTTGGTATAGAACCTTGCATCCCAGCAGCCTTTTAATTGTCATGATGGGAAGACAGAAGAAAATTCAAGGGTCTCAAGAAAGCAATCCATGGACTGAAGCACAGGTAATTAATCACAGGCTGCAAGCTCTTTCTTCCTGTGTAGCCTAGAAACAGCTCCAAATTACTCCTCTCCCCGACTCTACAGCTGAGAACTACAGACATGACTTAGCGGAGCAGCAGAGAACCTGCTCTGTCATATAGCCAAACAGCAAACAGAGCTCCCAAACCAAGCCAGGAAATGAAGGCAGCCCATGTCTAGGGCTCATTTCATTAACATGACCTGGCTACTCTGGGCTTGGGTCATGGGAAGAAGAGGTAGCTCTGACCAGCATGGGAAGCTGTCTGAGGCCATAGGCTGACATGATTTTGAACCTTCCCTTTGGTGCTTCATCTTGTCAGGCTGAGTCCTCCCTGGGCTCTTGATAGGCACAGGTCTATACTGAGTCGACAAAAGGCAAGATGAAAAGGGGCAAAAGAGGCTCTGGGTCCATTCTTAATTGTTGCTAGGACACCAAGGTTTCCCTTGACCAAGAGAAGCTGAGACACACCAACAAACCATACCTCAGAGACACCTTTGGGGTAATCAGGTCAGCACTCCTCAGGTCCCAACCATGCAGAAGATACAAAGGGACAGACAGCATCCACAATGGTCAGCTGGTGTCTGCTACAGTGCAGGTCAGCCACGACCAGGGATGAGGTTATTGGGATAGCCTCTTTGGGCCCAGGCTGAGAGACTAGGAGAGTGTATCAACTAGGAGAGCGTAGTCAGCTTGACAGTCATGCCTGGGGTGGTGGGTGAGGGGGCAGCTGCTGCAGGGCAAGCCTCTTATAACTATAACAGTGGAAGTCAGTCTCCGCAGTTCCTCAGTTGGGTCACAGGCAGAATTCTCACATAGGCAGTCAACACCAACACCTCTCTCTGTGCTGGTTAAATGGAATGCATAAGAAAAAGGAGCTGTGTGAAGTGCAAGTGCCATAGGGTGTTGGGAGGGCTACATGAGGGACCTGCCCGACTAGATTGGGTAGCTACAGGAGAGGGGGTGGTGGCCAGAAGGCCCATCCACTTCCATAAACTTTGTCACATGCAGCACAGGCCTTGCCAAGTCACACACTTTACACGGGCATAGGAAGAGTTACATTAAAATTAATCTCTTTACTGATATAATTAAATTTTAACTCCTGAGAAGAAAATAGAGAAAGGGAAAATGATGCTGGACACCAGGCACCCCAGTTCCCAGCCCCACACACCGTTCATTTCGTGTCCAGACACT